TTTTTTTTTTTTTTTTTTTTTTTTTTTTTTTTTTTTTTTGCAGGGTGTTTCTGCCTTTCTGCAGCCCTTTAGCAAAAAAAATAAATAAGAAAAAAAAAAAAAAGGATCATGGATTGAAAGTGCAATCTGTGGATTAATCTGACCCTGAATCACTCAAGCCACTGCAGCTCTGAAAGCTGCACCTTAAACCAGGCTGAGTTCACTCAGGGCTGTTTCTTGATAGCAGGTGCCAATTTGCAAAGGGAGATTAGATGGGCCCCTTCTTTCACATTTACCCGTGTGAGTTTTCCTTCTTTCAGTTTATTCTGTTTTAAAGTGTTGGGAGAGGATAACACAGCTAATAACTGCCAAGCTTTGAAGGGGTAAAACCTGTCGGAGGACATGCTGCATCTCTCCTTACACGATTTTCCCTTTCAAAGAAACAATCTAACGGCGTTTCCTATTAGTGCTATCAATTTTGAAGTACACTCTCAATATAACCAGCATTTTTTTCGTTCACTCAGACTGTGGGTGTAGCCTCACATGTTCATCCTCTCATAAGGCAAGCACAAATGCTATGGTGTTGCTTCCCCCCCTGGGTTAGTTTTGTGGGGCCATGGATTTGATGCATCTGTTTCCTGCTGGCTCCATGCCCTGGCTCCCATGACACATACAGAGCACTGCAGCAACTGCATCTTTCCAAAAATCCAAGCTCTGAGTTGAGATTAAAATGCCCACTGCCCCATTTCCCTCCCCCTTGCCTTTTTTTTTTTTCTCTTCCCTATGGGCACTTTGGGAAGTTTAAAACCGTAATCCTCAGCCCATTTGTTAAAGGGCTGTGTGATGTAACCATATTCTCAGTAAAGGTTTTAGAGGGTTTTAGCTGGTAATGTCTCCCACAGGAAAAACAGCTTTCAGCCAGAGTGCTCCGTGAGATTAGTTCTGTGATAAGGACTTTTCTATATAAATAGACATGAAAGGAGCAGTAGCTTTCACCGTGACTGACCTGTTGCCTTGCTGTAGCAGCTCACACTCCAATCTGAAATGGGGAAATTGAGAAAATATTGATGATTCTCCCAAAAAAAAAAGACTTTTAAAGACTTCTTCAGCGCTTGGAACAGCTCTCTGGGTTTTGTTTTCCCCTGTCCCATGGCTAAACCAGGGTCACTTGGCCACTTATCCTGTGCTGACCTAATCTACGACTCATGGGTTGCAGTGGGGAATAATAATGCTGGGTGACAGCTCTGGCTGCACTGCAATAGCAGGGCTTTTACACCAGAGTTGTTCTGTGAAGAAGGTGTGGAGAGCCTGTTGTCTCCTATTGCTAGGACAAGCTTTGCTGCTGCTGGACCACCTGAGCACGATTTTAAAAAAAAAAAAAAAAAAAAAAAAAAAGCTTGTCCCTTTTGGGGACAAACCCTTGTGCATGACTGTTAGGAGACAATATTACATCAGAGAGTGGATGGAAAGAAGTGCCTATCTTATTTATGAGTTGGAGCTATGGTCATCAATTGCTGGAGAAGACTTGGAGTGGGGTGAGACTGCGTCCATGCCCAGCGTAGAAGGTTGGGGTTGTCTTT